GTGGCACCTTCCTGAGGTGTGCGCCAACGGAAGACAGTAGAAACAGGTGATGGAGGCAGGGGACCAACACTGGAGATGCCCGAGGCTATCGGCGAGGACGTCATATGGGGATGCTGACATCGCGAGCATATTGCTTCGATCATCGAAAATTAGATGTTCGCTCGCGACATCCTGGACAGCATGTCTTCGAACAGGGGGTTGTGAAACTACCAATGGCGTTCGCGTGCTGTTGCTTGGACGTGTGTGTTTTCCCCGCGAAATCCTCACAGCCGATGCGTCCTGAGGGTCACCGAACGCATCATATTATGCTTGTGACGCGGACGTTGGCACTGATGTTGATGTTGCCGATGCTGAGTTTCATGATGTTGGTGATGACGGCGATAATGATCACCATGGTGGCGTTGGCGGTTACGGTTGTCCTGATGATATCGTGCGATAACATCCGCTGCGTTTGAGGGGCTTCAAGTGCAGCGGGCGTTTGTGTTTCATCCGAGGTTGTTGCATGTCTTGATTTTTTTTCCGGAGTTTGCGCGGGTAGTGAATTGCGCTTGTTGTCGACGGCGACGGCGGGTGACGAGTGCGAAGAGGCGGCGACATGGGCGAGGAGGCAGAAGAGGATGAGTGACAGTACGAATCTCAGGACCAGTGTCAGGGCCAGCTTGCCACCCACATCAGTTCAGCGCACCGTCTGAACTGGTTCGGGTCGTGATCTCTACCTCTCACCTTTTTTTGTTTTGTTTTTTTGTTTTGTTTTTTTCTCGGGTGGGCTTGCCTACGGCACATTTGACCTTGACTTGACGGCGTTGGAAGAATTTGCGCAACTCCTCCATTCTGCGCGTTGCGTGTACAAAGTGAAAGTGGAATTTATGACCTGCGCCACCCCAGCGCCACGTCAGATCTTGCGCGGGTGCTGAACTCCACCTGGTGTCCATTGTGAGCGTCTGGGAAGAGCGCCCATGCTACAGTTGATTCCAATGCTAGTGCACATTATGTCAAAGCTTTTTGATTTCACGCGACTCCCGCTCATGTCAGCAAAGGCTTCCCGGAGTGGCAATATCGCCAGAGACGTCTCCGCTTTCTTTGACGAGCCATCTTGCGCGACCAGCGCAGACGCAAGCGCCCGGAGGCATCGCCCGATTCAGTCGGGCACCTGGGGTAGCTGCGCAGTGCGCCGCGCCGCCAGCGCCGCGAGTTCGGATACGCTGCCCCCAGCGCGGCGCACGTCGTCGCTCAGCAGGAGCAGGGCCTGCCCCCGCGGCAGCAACCGCTCCGTCCACCCTGGGCATGCAATCCCGAGCATCTCCTCCAGCGTCGCGGTTCTGGCGCCACACCGGGGACAGATGACCTTGCCGGGCCCCTGCGCGAAGGCGTGCGGCCACCACGACCGCCTTGAAAAGAAGGCGGAAACCATGGCGCCTGGGCGGGCGGGGCCGTCGCCGCCGCAGCGCCGCGGCGGCAGCGCCAGCGGGGGCGCGCGCTTAGCAGGGGGGGCGACCGGCGGCGCGGAACCCGCGCATGCCCTGGCCCCGCGGCGCACGCTGCGCCAGTCGCGCGGCCGGCGGCGGGCGGCGGGCGGCGCCGCCGCCAGAGCAGCCTCCTTCGTGGCTGCGAGCACGCGCTGCGCGGCCCCAGCGGTCCCGCTCGCTCAGCCCGCGCTTGTGGCCGTCAGCCTCCCGCTAATTACGGATGGCCTCCGCCGCCTGCTGCACGTGCGCGCCGGCCACGACCTGAGCGCAGGAGCGAACACTGCACTTGCTGCCAGAGGCGGGGTCGATGGAATCGCCGACGGCGCGCGCGGCCGCCATCGCGGCTGCCACCTCGGCGCTGTCCCAAGGCCCTCCTTGGCCGTCTTGGGTTTTTGTTTGGGGCCGTCTTGGAGCCCTCTTGGGTCGTCGTGGGGCCTTATTGGAGGCCTAGTTGCCCGTCTCCGGGCGATATTGCAGGCCTCTTGGGCCGTCTGGGACGCTGCGAACGCCCAAGAAGCGAATGCGCTAAAAATGCATGTTATCCAAAGGGAATGGGGTGTCTTTTGATTATGGAGGCCCTCTTGGGGCGCCTCTTGGAGGCTTCTTGGGGCTTCTTGGGGGCTCCTCCTCTTAGGGCCCTCTTGGCCCGTTTTGAAGCGCCGTGCCCCCCATGACGCGTTCGGGCGGTCCCCGGGGGCCCCCCCCCTCCCAATCGATCGGGCTGGGGTCTCCGGGGACGGGATTGGGGGGAAACACACCACACGCCCCAAGGAATCGGCGGACTTCCATCATTGGGAAACCACGCCCGGGTGGCAGGACCTCGCTAACCAGGGTTTGTGTTCGCCTTGGTTTTTGGGGCGAGCGACTGGTGCAGCTGAATGTTGGTGCAGGCCAGGCACACAAAGGGACTTGTTGATCGAGTATGGTCGTGAAGTACGCGTCCGAATCCCACAGGGGCTGTAAGGTTGGTGCAGCAGAAAGTGCGGGTTACACTTCAGGGCTGAGGGTTCCAACAGGTAGGGACTGGAGGGCAGGTTCTCAGGTGTTTGTGGGTATGTTCTCTCATCGGCTACGCGACCAGGCCAGAGTTAAACAGCCATGGGCCCCCCTCTGGAATAGGAATTGGGCAGGCGATGAATGGAGCAAAGAACACGGCACGAAGTTCGGTGTCACGCCATCCTTCTTCGAGAATGGGATGGCATCCCCCAGAATATATGTGCATTTGACTGCGGGTGGGCCGGCCCGCCCAAATATTTCTGATTGAGTATGGTAGGATTGACGGGGTAAGCTCCCATATAATTACCTGTGAGATGAATTAGGTGTCATGCTCGTTTCGGAGATCCCCGAAACTGACATGGACAACGCGGGACCCGACAGGCCTTAGCAAAGCACGCGATGTCGCAGGCAAGCGGCCCGAAAGTGGGGGAGAAAGATGTGAGCGATAGGCATCATTCGTTTCCTTGAGAGCGATCGGAGTCTCATTGCCAGCACGCCTGGTTATTGGTTAGTGTGGGCACGGGAGCTTTAATGGCGAGAAGAGACTTCGGCCGAAAGGGCCGTTTTTGTCGAATCATCCGGTTAGAGACCAGTAAAATCCGGTCAGGCCCGAACCACCGGGCTAGATACCATGGAAATCCTTTCAGGCCCTGCCCTTGAGTCTCAAGGTTGGAATGGCCTCTCCATTGCGGCCATGCAGCTGCATGCAGCTGTAGGAGGAAGAACGGAGGAGACCGACTGCGATGGCAAGGTAATTCTAACCTGCAGGCTGGCTCTCCTGGCTGCACCAGGGGTGCAACGTAAGGGGTTTTCGAGACAATTGAAATCCCTTCAGGCCCTACATTGGAGCTCCATGGCTGGAACGGCCTTCTCACTGCAGCCAGGTAGCTGCAGAGGGAGATCATGGCCAAGAGGCTCCAGCCTGGTGGCTGTCACTCCTGGTGCATCAGCGGAGAAGGGCGAGGGGGGCGTGGTGGCTGGCACTCGGGGCACCCGGGGTGGGAACCCACGGATCCCCATCCCCATCTCCATCCCCTTCCAGACCCCCACCAAATTACCACCCCAGTTGGGGATACACTCCTCTAAACCCGAAGGGAACGGCCCATATCCCCATCTAGGGGGGTAATCGGCCAGTGGGGCCCAGGCCACGCCGCTGGGGATGGGGGTCGGATAAACGATGCTCAGGAACCTAGGACTCAGAGAGTCCCACATTACAGTGCCGTTTTTAAAACATGCTCCGCGTGCGGATCATGTATCAAAAATGCAGGGATTTAGAATTAAACACACCGATGGGGGACCCTACAGCCGGCTAAGACTGTTGAAGCAACGGAGGGGAGGGGCATACTAAACATATTAGGGGAACCACCCGTCGGTGACTTCGGGAGGCCGCATGGAGGCCCCAGCAGGTCACCGACGCGAGCTGTGGGAACCACAGGTCGGCGTGACCTCAGGGGGTCGCTTGGGGGCCAAGAGGAGGAGGAGGAGGAGGAGGAGGAGGAGGAGGAGGAGGAGGAGGAGGAGGAGGAGGAGGAGGAGCAGATCGGGAGCAGGAGCAGGAACAGGAGCAGGAACAGGAGGAGCAGTGGGTGCAGGAGGAAGCCCTATTGCGACCCTCCTGGGGCTTCCTGGGGGCTTGGAGAGGCCTCTTGGGATCTCTGCGGGCCCTCTGGGGGGTCTCCACGCTGGTCTTGGGGCCATCTTGGGTTGAAGGGCTCCAACTGGTAGTGAGAGTTTCCCTTCTTGGGCTCCTCTTTGAAGCCTCTTGGTGACATCGGGGGCCCTCTTAGGCGGGCCTTGATGGCCTCTTGCCCAGACCGTGCCGCTTGGGCCATCTCAAAGCGCGTTGGAAGTCAGGAGCCCGGGCAATGGGTCGGAGGCATCGGGGAAAGCCATGGCGGGAAACTTAAGAACGCGCGGGCTTGGGGTGTTTACGAACATGGGAATCGGGGGTGGGTATTTTGATGAACATGCGCCATATTCAATGTTGGAGATTGCGGGCATGAGTACACGATCGCGGTATTTCGTCTCTTGGTTTGACAACCGCCGTGTTCAGGCTTGTTGCGATTTTAGATCGCCTAGCCGCCCGGCCCGGCCTTAGGGAAGTGATTTTGTCAGGGGGTATTCCACACAGGACAGTACATTGGGCGTACAGGCTCCAGAAGATCGCATGTCTTGCCCCAGAGGTGGGTTGTCGCTCTTCGCGCTCTTCGTCCAGAGGACAGCCCCCCTCCTACGCGCGCTGCTTCGCCATCGCGTCTAGAGCAAACAGAGTACACTCTTCTGGCTTGCCCCAATGTGTCTGAATCTTACCAGCTTGAAACGTATCCCAATCCCCATGTTTGACATCACCTCACCTCGATACCGATCTGAAGGATGCCCTCAGCTTCTGAGGGCCTGTCCCTAAGCTTGTGATCGCTTTTTGCTCGCCCACCTCAGGGATAGGGATAAGTTCCAGGCTGGTTCGAACCTCAGCCCCAGATCTCGTCCTCGCCAGGTCGGCGTGGCGAGGGGGCCTCGCCGAGCCCCAGCGCCCCCCAGGTGGGCTCCTTCCTGCGCCGGCGTGCGACGGTGCAGACGGAGCTGAACTCGCAGAACGACCCGCGCAAGATTCAGGCCCCCAGGGCAGGGCGGGGGCTGAGGAGGAGGAGGCGGAGGAGGAGGAGGAGGAAGGAGAGGGATAGGAGGAGGAGGAGGAGGATGAGGAAAAGGAGGAGGAGGAAGGAGAGGGACAGGAGGAGGAGGAGGAGGAGGAGGAGGAGGAGAGGAGGAGGAGGAGGAGGGAGGAGGAGGAGGAGGAGGAGGAGGAGGAGAGGAGGAGGAGAGGAGGAGGAGGAGGAGGAGAGAGGAGGAGGAGGAGGAGGAGGAGGAGGGAGGAGGAGAGGGATAGGAGGAGGAGGAGGAGGAGGAGGAGGAGGAGGAGAGGAGGAGGAGGAGGAGGAGGAGGAGGAGGAGGAGAGGAGGAGGAGGAAGGGGGCGGCGCACGCGGCTGGGTGCGGAGCACGCGAAGTGGGGGGAGAAGCCGCGCCAGCTCCTGCCAGCGGCCTCTGCCCCCCAAGATTTTGGGGGGGAGGGGTGAGCGGGGCAGGCGATGTTGGGCCCATGCGGGCCGCAGGAGCCGAGTCCCCGACGCGTCGTGCACGCACGCCTCCGTGTTCTCGGGAGCAGGATGCGGGATGTGGCAAGACGGGGGGAGGCCAGCTGAGATGCCTGTCGGAGACGGAGGTCGAGGGAGGGGGGGGGGGAGGGCTGCGGGGGAGGAGGACCCGCGGGCCTCAGGGAGAGCCGCCCGAGCGGTGCATGTGGGGCGCACGGTAGAGGCGAGCCAGACCGCGTTCAGGAGGGAAAGAAACACAGACACAATTAATACGCGATTTCCCAGAAAATATGGGAAAATATGGGAAGTGGGGGGGAAGACAAAACTCAAAAATATAGAAAAATATGGGGAACCTCTTTAATCGTGTGTATTTATTTGTGTGTCTCAGGGCCCCTTCACGTGTGCCGAACACATGGGGCACGGGGGGAGCGAGGGAGGGCAACGTGACCACGAGAGCCCTGCGATCGCAGACATGGACCAGCGGCGAGTCCCGGGCCCCGCTTCCGTGGGGAAGCGCGGACTTCCGCCGCCGAGCGAGGCGGCACCGGCTGCATTCTGGGGAGGGCGCCTCCCCCGATCCACGGATTTCGGTGACCGCGCGATCCAAATCCATGGATCGCTGATCCATGTTTGCGCGCCCCCGCGTGATCATGAGAGTGCGCCCTGAGATTCTGCGATGCTCGACGGTGGACTCACTTGCGCAGCCAGCCATGGCAGTGGTATCCACCTTTGTGGAGGTCCTCACGGCTTGCCCTGCACGGATGCCTCGCGCCAAGCGCCTCGTGTTGGGGGCATCATGGTAAGCCGTACACCGACAGACATCAGGAGGGCAAAAAACACACAGACACAATTAATCGTCGATTCCCAGGAAAATATGGAAAGATATAGGAAGTGGAGGGGGGAAGACAGAGACCCAGAAAATATGGTAAAATATTGGGAATAGTTTCATGTGTGTATTTATTTGTGTGTCTTTGGGCTCCTTGAACTATGCGGAGCACGCCATTTGGAGTAGGTCGTCCAAGCCAGGTGCTACAGTCCATGTGGTCCAGGCAACGTTGGAGAATCTGGAGTCGCCAATTGCACTGTCCGAGTACACGTCCCACCCAATCGCCCGCAACTTATGTTCGGCCCTCAGCTTGCGCAGCTGGTACCATGCAGATCCTTGACGCGGGCGGCCTGCGATGGTGACGACGACATCTGCGACGGCGATGGCCATGATGATGCTGATGATGATGATGATGATGATGATGATGACGATGACGATGACGATGCCGATGATGACTATGATGCCGATGATGATGATGATGATGATGATGATGATGATGATGATGATGCTGATGCTGATGCTGATGCTGATGCTGATGCTGATGCTGATGCTGATGCTGATGCTGATGCTGATGCTGATGATGCTGATGCTGATGCTGATGCTGATGCTGATGCTGATGATGATGATGCTGATGATGATGATGATGATGATGATGATGATGATGATGATGCTGATGATGATGATGATGATGATGATGATGATGATGATGATGATGATGATGATGATGATGATGACGATGACGATGACGAGGACGAGGACGAGGACGAGGACGAGGACGACGACGAGGACGAGGACGAGGACGACGACGACGACGACGACGACGACGACGACGACGACGGTGGTGCTGATGACGTCTGGAGGCCATTTTTGGCGTCTAGGACCAATCATTCGACGATTCGGGGCCCTCTTGGGCCGTCTTGGGAGCCGCTTTGGGAACTCTTGGCCTCTCTTGGGGCTTTTTTCAGCCCGGGACCGCCCAGGGCGGAATGGTATTCTTACCCGGGACCCGGGACCCCCCCCCGGGCACCCCCCCTCCCCAGGGGGAAGGGAATGAATAAGAGGGGCCTCCCCTCGAGTCAATTAAGACGTTGCTCAATTTCGGTGTTGTTTCATTTTGGCTGGCGCGTTTGAGATATCGTATCAGTTTCGCTGTGGCTAGCGCGCTGGAGGAGGACCCAGCGTCTGCGAACACGACGACAGCGACGAGCCAAACAGAACGACGACGACGGAGACGCGGATGTCGATGACGTCGACGAGTCAGACAGAACAGCGTCTTCCACACGCCGACAGGGTCAAAGCGAGTGCACCGCACAGTCTCACCTGATAGGCACGAGGGGGTCGAAAAGGGGCTCGGCTGGGAATGAATCGTTTGATATGCAAAATGGGCGACCGTGCGGGCGACATTTGTCAGGAGGGAAAGAAACACACATACACAATTAATCGTCGACTCCCCGGAAAATATGGGAAAATATGGGAAAATATGGGAAGTGGGGGGGGGGAGACAGAAACCCAGAGAATATGGGAAAATATGGGGGATCATTTTTATTTGTGTGTATTTGTGTGTCCTGGGGCCCCTTTAATTTGAATACTTGGAGCGCTTCCGTTCCGGCCGGCCTCGGCCTGCCAGTACCGTTTGCTAGGCCGCGCGAGAGAGGACGTGCGACAGCCCTGGGGCCCGTGGAGGGCCTCAGAGGCGCCGACAGCGAAAATCACCTTGGCATCGCTCGGACGTGTGCATTTTTTCTCGGCGACGGCCATCGAGGACCATCTTTGATCATTTTTTTTCTAAAAACAAAAACACGAAACCGAACAATACACGAGGAATGGACGTCCGAGCGATGGCGAGTCACCTCCAGGATCCGATTCTTCATGCTGGAACTGTTGGCCCCCGCTTGTCGTCCACCCAGACTCACCGAGCGCGTTCCACGACTCGCAAAGTGCCTGCTCACAATCGCGCGAAACAAATCACATGTCTGCTTCGGCGTCATAGGCCGTAAGGCACTTGCGGCGGATCCCGGCCCTTTGCGAGTAGCTATTAGCGAGTATTCGAACGCGATCGCCTGCAGCGTCCCGGCCGCAGGAGCTGTCGCAGGAGCTGTCCAATATCGAGGAGACGACGCCGCGCTGGTGGCTTCCGAAAATCGCCGTCGTTCGGCCACGCGCAGAGGGGGGCACACAGGGGGAATGAGGGAAGGCTTCGTAGAAGCACGCCTGCTTCTCAGAAGGCGCGGGCCCTGTCTATAGATGTAAGGCCAGCGGCTTCTCCGAAGCAGCTTCCTTCCACGAAGCTCCTAGGCCTCCTGGACAGGGTCGGAGTATACGTGGTCGGAGGACTGCGCCACATCGCCGATGCATCTTCCATGTGGGGCCCCATTGTCTCCACGCCGACGTCGCCGATGCGTCGCCGACGTCGCCAGAGCATGGCCGATGCCGCGCCGATGCAGCGCCGATGCGGCGAGATCCTCAGACCCCATCCAGGAGGCTTCTGTACGACGCCTTCCTCCTCCCCCCCCTCTTGGCATCGCGCGGACGTGTGCATGTTTCTTTCGTCGAGGACCACCGAGGGGCATCCCTGATCATCTGGCGGAAAAAACCACGCACGAAACCGGAAAAAGAAACACATGGAATGGACGTCCCAGCGATGGCGAGCCCTGCCCCTCGGCGCGCAAGCGGGGCCAGCGGCCGCGGCCGCGGGGCCGCCTCTGACGGCCCCGCCGACCCCCCTGGGCGGCCAGGCAGCGCAGGGGCGGACAGCCCCGGAGGGGGGGGGGCGCCACGGGCTCGACCGCGCGCAGGAGGGGAAGAAACACACAGACACAATGTATCGGCGATTCCCAGAAAATATGGGAAAATATGGGAAGTGGGGGGGAAGACAAAAGCCAAACATATATGGGAAAATATGGGGGATACTTTTATTTGTGTGTGTGTGTGTGTTTATTTGTGTGTCCCAGCTCCCCTTCACAAGCGCCGAGGTCGACGGAGGAAGAACGGCAGAAACACAAACTTTTGGCGCTCCGCGCGGAGTTCTCGGGTCCGCGCTGGGCCCCCCCCTGGCGGCGCCTCCGGCGCCGCCCCTGGCGCGCCCCGCGCGCCAGGCAGGGGAGCCCAGCGCAGATCCAAGAAATCCGCGCGAAGTTTATGACATTTTTCTTCCTTTCTGTTCGGGGGTTGGGGGAGGGGAAAGGCTTCTCAGGTGCACCCCTGCTTCTAGAAGGCGCGGGCCTTGCCTGTTTATGTGAGGGCGGCGCCTTCTAAGAAGCAGCCTCCTTCCAAGAAGTTTCCCCCCCCTCTCCTCACCCCCTCGTGCGCGCCGCCAACACGTACACGCCGGTCGTTGGAAGCAGGTATTTCTTTCGGGAGTTGCTATATAAAGGTACCCTTGGGCCAAAGTGCCCCCGGCTTTTCGCTCAGTTCTGGAGCCTCTGGGGCCCTCTGGGCATTGTGTGGGGTGTCCTGGAGGCCGTGGGGGCAACCTTGGAAATCCTGGGGGCACCTTGGGCCGGGGGCACTTCTAGCAACACCCGACCCTGGATTCCCAGATTCCAACTGCGCCTTCTTACCTCAATCATGGTTTTCCCTTTTCATTCGTCTTTAGGGGGCGGGCGGAAACCCGATCTACTTCCCCTTCCTTCCTACTTCACGTTTCTACCCACCGTTCTTCCGACCGGCCTGTATCCTCGGAGGAGGAAGAGGTACCGATACCGCTTCGCTTTCGCCTCTTCATTGGCCTGCCCTCGTCGCCTCGGCCAGATTCGCCTTGAAAGCCTGGTCAGCACACACCCAGGGAGAGGTCCGCGGAGTGGCCGTATCGGGACAGTGGGGGCCCATGCCGCCAAGATACACCCTGCTTGCCTCCAGATTGCCCTGGGTTTCCTGGGTTCCCATGGTTTTGCGATGGAAAGCGCGAGGCTCCCACACCAAAAATCAAGGGACGTCCTGGGGTCGCAGGGTTGGGTTTCTTGTGGAAGGTTTCTTGTGGACTGGCCTCCACTGTATCCGAGCATTTTCTTTGGGTGGAGGGCAAAGGGTGAAATCTCAAATGCCGTTTCGATGGATTTTCGAGGCTTGAATCTGCAAAAGGTGCATCACAGGACGGATTTATGTTCAAGGTGCGAAAGCCCATATGGATTTCACCCTAAGCCCTCCACCCTGAACAAATGCCCAGTGTATGTTTGCTTCTCGAGGCCCTCAGAGACCTGTCTCCCGAGCCTTGAGATGCCACCGAACCTCCATCCTCCTTCCTTGCAGCTCTCCAGACCGCTTCAATCGGGCGGTAGTGGGTGGGATTAAAAGATGGTGTCGCCATTCAGATGCATCGGCGATGCGGCCCGATCTGGAGCCAAATTTTCAACAGCCCGACGTCGCTGATGCATTGGGGCCGCGGTGCGATCCTCCGACCCTATCAATTTCAGCCCCATTTGGGCGGCCCCCACAGGCGCGCACGCTTTTGGAAGAGACAGTGGCGATGCAAAGGGAGCTCGCGCGAGCGTCGTGAGGTCTGACTCTCTGCCGGGCCTGCGGGGCAGGCCGACGCAGGCTGGCGAGGGGCGGCCTTTCTCGGTGCTTCTCGCAGCTCGAAGCCATGAGGAGTGCACCCTCTAAGCACCAGCCTCTCCTCAGTGGCCAAGGCACGTGCTGCCGAGACGCCGGAACGAGGCACAAATCTGGGCTCGGAGGGAGCTCGCCATGCCCTGTGGGTCCTCCCCATGTTTGCTCTCGTGGCGCTCCTCGTGTGCCCAGGCGCTCGTTTTGGGCAACAAGAGGCTTCCTGCATCTGCTTTGGAGTTCCTGCTGTTGCCAGTTCGACCTATGGGTCCTTCCCTGTTTGCTCCCGTGGCGCTCCTCGTGTACCGAGGCGCTCGTTTTGGGCAGCAAGAGGTTTCCTGCTCCTGCTTTGGAGTTCCTGATGTTGCCAGTGCCCTTTGTGCTACGGCGAGCGAGAGAGGCTCTGAGGAGGGGCCTCTCGGGGCTGGAGGGCGTGCCACGGCATCGCTGATGCATCCTGGGTTTGCTCTCATCCTCGTCCTCCTCCTCCTCCTCCTCCTCCTCCTCCTCCTCCTCCTCCTCCTCCTCCTCCTCCTCCTCCTCCTCCTCCTCCTCTCTCTCTCTCTCTCGACCCTGTGCCCTCTGTGCTGCGGCGAGCGCCCACCCGGGAGCATGTGCGCGCTTCGCGGGCCCTGGCGCGACCGCGGAGCATGGCGCGCCGAAGCGGCGCGCCTGGCCCCGCGGTCGCGCCAGGGCTTCCGAGGGGCTCCCCCGGGGGGCGCCGGGGGAGCCAGGTCCGGCCAGCCCTGCCGCAGGAGCCTCCTGTTCGCTAGGGGGCCACATGCGAACCCTACCCCTACCCCCGACGATTTCTGAGGGGTGGGTGGGAGCTCCCGAACGAAGTGAACCCGGTTCGCATCAGCGTCAGGGAATTTGCACGCACGAAATGGGTACGGAAAGAATGGGTACGATGCTCAACAGCAGTTCTTGTTCATTTTGAACAGGACGCGATGTCCGCGGACGCCCGAAATGGGTACGGAAAGAATGGGTACGATGCCCAACAGCAGTTCCTGTTCATTTTGAACAGGGCTCGCAGTCCGCGCCGCCGCGGCCTGTGTCCATTCGAGACAGGAGGCCGCCTGCCCAACAGCGGCCGCTGTTGGTTTGGGACAAAATTTGTTGTTGGGCATTGTACCAATTTTTTACGTACCCATTTCGGGCGTCCAAAGATCCGGTCAGCCCTGCCGCAGGAGCCTCCGGTTCGCATAAGCGTCAGGGAAGATTTCCGTCCGTGTAGCTGGCTGAGGCTTCAGGCAACAAGCGCCCTGCCAACGCCAGTGCGCCGTGTTGGAAATGGGCCGCCCTCCTGCCATGCAGCTGCTTGGGACGTCGAGCGCATGTGCAGCAGGACGCTGAAACGTGAGGAGGCGCCCAGGCGAGAATCATTGTCTGAAAGGGACCCACGCTGAATCCAATCAGATGTTGAGCATTTCAGGCTTTGGGGTCGTAAATGGTGGGGAATCCTAAACGTATTGCTAAAAGGAGCTGGCGCAACCCCGTGGGATGGTAGTAGTTATTTCAAGCTCTACGGTCTCAGGAAGTGCGGACTTCTCATGGACATGTACGTGCTGGGTCAGTACATGGCCCGTTCTTCGTCCGTTTAGCGGTTCGCGGGCACAAGGTCATTGGCCACAAAATGCGAGGACCCAGCATGCGGCAGTCATGTTTTGAGATCGTATGATTTGTCTGCATGCCACGATCGCGTCGCCTTTGGATAATGATTTCTGAGGAAGTGCCAGGCGAGAGTCGCACGATGAGAATCAACTGCCCTCCGCTCGTGTGGCGGCAGGAAGTTCCTAAGCTCTGTGGCTTCTTTACTCGAATGTTCGGGCGCAGCGCCCCGAACTCCCTTTGACAGGGGCAGAGGAGGCCGAGGAAAAAGGGGCAGGAGGTGTTTGCAGATGCGAGGGAGCGCGACCCACCGACGTCTCACTATGGAGAACCCCCCCCTCTTCCTCGGGAACCCGTGGGCCCCCCCCCACCCCTTCGAAGATCCCCCCCGCCCCCTGCTGGACCCCCTCCCCCCCCCCCCTTTCTCCCGGCACCCCCCCCTAACCCCTCCCCCCCCCTCCCCCTCCCTCCAGAAAAACGGGGGGGGTCACTACCGGTTCGAACCCCCCCCTCCCCCCCTCCAGAAAACCGGGGGGGGGGTCACTACCCGCCAAACGACTCCCCGGTTCCCACCACCGTCCGCACCACATCCCCCACTGCTGTCCCCGGCACCTCTGGTTCCACCACCATTGTCCCCACTGTTCCCACCACCGTCCCCACTGTCCCCACCAGTGCCCCCACCACTGTCGCACTTTCCCCACTGCCCCCACCACTGTTCCCACCACGGTCCCACTCTCCCCACTTTCCCCACGGTCCCCACCACTGTCCCCACTGTCCCACTGTCCCCGCCGCTGAGCTGTTCCACTGTGCCCACCACTGTCCCCACTGTCCCCACCACTGTCCCCACTGTACCTCTGTCCCATTGTCCCACCGCTCTCACCACTGTCCCCACCACCACTGTCACCACCACTATCCAACTGCTCCCACCACTGTCCCCACTGTCCCCGCACCACTGTCCCCATCACCACCGTCCCCACCACTGGCCCCACAGTCCCCCACCACTGGCCCCACTGTTCCCTCCATTGTTACCGCTGTCCCCACCAGTGCCCCCACCAGTGTCTCACTGTGCCCACTTTCCCAACCATTGTCCCACCACGGCTCCACTCTCCCCACTTTCCCCACGGTCCCCACCACTGTCCCACTGTCCCCATTGTTCCCGCCACTGTCCCACTGTCCCCACTGTCCCCGCCGCTGTCCCACAGTGCTGTCCCACTGTCCCCACCACTGTCCCACTGTCCCCACTGTCCCCACCACTCTACCCACTCTGCTACTGTCCCACCACCGTCCTCACCACCGCCTTCACCACTGTCCCCACCACTACGGTCCCCACCACTGCCCCACTGTCCCCATCACTGTCCCGCTGTCCTCTCACCACTGTCCCCACCACCACCGTCCCAACCTCTGTTCCCACCACTGTCCCACTGTCCCCACACCACTGTCCCCATCACCACCTTCACCACCACTGTCCTAGTCTCCCCACCACTGTCCAACTGTCCCGAGGAGCGGGAATCGTTTGCCAGCGGCGATGGGGGTGGGGGGGTCGAACCGGTAGTGACCCCCCCCCGGTTTTCGAGGGGGGGGGGTTCGAACCGGTAGTGAACCCCCCCCCTTTCATGATGGACGGGGGGGGTTCGATCGAACCAGTAGTGACCCCCCCCCCGGTTTTCAAGGGGGGGGGACGGGTTGGGCACCCCCAGTGACCCCCCCCCGGTTTTCCGCCAGCAGCGGTAGAACATGCCCTTTCGCAGATGCTGATCTTGGAGGAGGGTGGTCCTGCTGTCTGTTTGGTTTGGTATGTGGCGGTGGTTCTGGCAGAGTGTGTTTTCTGCCGGCGTAGCACCCTCTTCAAATCTGCCCTTTCGCTCTCTTTCCCTTTCGCTCTGTTTCCAGACCCATATAATTGCCACTTGCGGCATTCGATGAGAGTCGAGGCGCTGGCGTTCTCAGAGGAGGTGGGCCACCACTGCCACCACGAGTGGAGGTGTTTTGGCGGCGCCCAAAGTAGACAACGCCGCCGTGAGGTTCGAAAAGAGAGGGAGGGAGAGTGGGGCGGCGGAGGGAAGGACGGGAACGGCGGTATTGGCAGGAGGGGCGGAGGTGGATGGAGGGACAACCGGCACTCCACCTGACCAGAGACAATGCAGCGAGGAAGAAAAAATGCACAAATATAATTTTTTGACAATCCGCGCGAATTTCTTTGATCCGCGCTGGGCCCCCGCGGCGGCGCCTCCCGTGCCACCCCTGGCGCGCTCCGCGCGTCAGGGAGGGGGGTTCAGCGCAGATCCTATAAGTCCGCGCGGACCTACAAAAGGTTATGCTGATGTCGGTGTTCCTTCCTTCTAATGCAGGCGAAGGCTCTGGCGCCGTGGCAAGGCTTCTTGCGCCTGGGTCGCCGAGGTTCGGGGGGGGGGGCCTTACCCGCTGCGCTGCCAAGGCCCTCTTTGTTCCTCAGTGGGCCGAAGTGCTGAAGATCCCAAGATCTGCATGTATCCTTCCCGTCCGGGCCTTCAACGCACGGGCTGATTCTTATCTGATGGCCTGCCCTGCGGGCTTGCCGACGCTCTGGGGCCGCTGCGATCAGCGGGCGAGCCCTCGGGCAGGAGCACGTGGTCAAGTCGAACTTCTGGCTGGGCACGCTGCAGAGCACCTTGGTGCGCATGACCAAGGGCGAGGATGGCCACGCCGTCGCATGAGCGCGTGTCAAGTTGGTTGCCAGAACGGCGATGCCACGTAGATTGTTCACAATCATGAATTCACAACCTCACCTCCTGGTCACGACCTCGCCTTCATCCCTAGCATTGTCGTGCCGATCGGTCTCTCCCGAAGAGTCGACCGAAATTAGGGCTGTTGGCGCGGGTACTGGCGGCTGTTGGCAGAATCGACTCAGTTACAGGGCAGCGCGGGCGCAGCCTGCCTTCGACTTATCGTTAGTGGCAGCGACAGTTGATAACTAAACACTGACAATTGCAAGTTGAAATGACGAACTTCTGACAAATACTTCCTGCCAGATAGCAACCACCTCGGGGCGACCGACTTTCACGGGTGAGTAAGAGCTGCTCGGTCCCAGTCTTATCCCAATTGTTTCTGCGCCCTCCCTCGCCTCTTTCCGCGCTTGCTGCTTTCTTCTGGCCCGACTGCGCTTCAGGGGGCCGCTCCACCAGAGCTGGCACACATGCTGAACGGAACTGAAGTGAACGTCTGACAAATGCCTGACTGAACCATATGAGCTATAAATATATATATGTGTGTGTGTATACATATGTTTTGCAGTTCTACCCTGGGGTGAGGACATTTGTCTGGCAGTTCTGGGCCAGCGGGTGAGGCTGTATGACAAGCATCTTTGGGCCAGGGGCTGCGATGTGCGGTCATCTGGCTTGCAGGCTAGATCCAGCGGGCGAGGATGCGCATCTGGCTGGCAATTCTGGGCCAGGGGGGCGATGGAAATTATATGGCTGACAGGTTTTGGGCCCTGATATTGCAAGCAGCTGTGGGCCGGGTTCCGCCCGTACTTTCGAGTAATTGTTTGCGCAAGTTTATTCGTGCATCCATTCCTTGCTCGGCTCATCCTCAGCCAGCCTCATCGGCCAGCCCCAAGCGATGATCTTACGGCTTCCACGCCCAGTGTCGCGATACGACTTGCAACCCCCAGATTTGCGGCGAATATGCAGGTTCACATATTTCAGAATTGGGCGATCCTGTGTATTGGTTTTCTCGTTGCTTCCACAGCGCTGTCGCCCAGGAGCTCCTTCGCCAGTCCGATGTAGCGATGGAATTCGCCACGAGCTTAGTGACGCGCGTCCTGCTTTGTCACCTTTATGAGTTAGTATCGTCTTCTCGCCCTCCTGGCATAATCGCAGTCTTTCTTCGTCGCCATCTTCTCCATCTCTTCCGTCTAGTCACATTTTGCATTCGGATCGTTCGGGCGCCAAGGGGCGAGTTGTCTGGGGACTATTCTGCTGATTATGCTAATCGCTTTGTGTGCCTCCCACCTTTCCATTCAGCGACCTTTGCTCGGCCTACTGCACGAGCGGTTTGGACTTCTCTGGTTGCGAGTGGTCTAACATTGATTGTCCGAGTCGAGCGCGATTGTTGCCGACATTGCACTGCTGGTCTTGCTCGATACGGTAAATGATCCCACTTGATTGGGCGTGCAGAGGTAGCGATCTAATCCGGTTATTCAAGTGGGTCCGCCCCCCCTCTTCGTGGTCTTCATTCACCTTCGCTTCCCGTCGTCCAGCCCGCATACTCCTTTTGCAATCTTTCTTTTCACTAGCCGACCTTCTACTCCTGGACCCGCCTCTTTACCTTCGTTGTCATTTGGGTCTCTGTTTTCCCCCCTAGAGCTCACAAGCACGTTATCCTCCTTCGACCCCTCCCTCTCCCTCGCAAGGGCATGACGTCATTCAGCACTTCCGCTACGTCAGCGCACTGCGCTTGCCTGACGCTGTCCTTTGCTGTACGGCGCTTTTGCACACGCTTCCTGCGGCGCTACAGGCCTCGGAACAAATTAGCGAACACTCATGATGCCACATTCATCTGTCAACGGCTCCCCCTTCCCCCAATGTTCAAAGTTGGCGGTGGGTCTGATGAGATGCACTTCGACCGCAGTTTCCCCCGCGCGAGCCAACGTTGAGGTTGGGGAGGAGGGGCAGTGTTCGGTGATTGTCTCCATCTTCCGTACTTCGCCCTCCCGGTCCGATTGGGAGAAGTCCCCACCGCTTCGCTTCCTCGAGGGTGTAGTCCTCCGACCCGGATCTCCCTGCTCACCGTCCTGATGAGGCCCGCCGTCGGGCACCGGAAGAGGCCGAGAACGGGGAGACACACGTTCGGGTGGGGGGAGGCCTGGGGCTAACGCTTGGCATCGCTCGGACGTGTGCTTTTTTCCTTCGTCGAGGACCATTGAGGACCACTGAGGGCCATTGAAAAGACCACGCACGAAACCGAAACAACCACAGGGAATGGACGTCCGAGCGATGGCAGGGTCCCTCACGTCTCTCCTTACCAGCCTCGTGCTCATCCCTATCCCTAAGATTGACACGCCAAAAGGCGATGACAATCTTAGGGATGCGCCCTCAAAACATAAGGGAATCCCTCAGATCGCCATCGTGATGAGGCGATGCCCAGCATAGGGATAGGGATCTGTTCCAGGCTGGTAATCTCCCTCCCTTCCCTCCCACCGCTGCCGCCGGCGGCGGCCAGCGCCGTCGCCGTCGCCGATCCCCTCGGGCTCTCCCTGGCCGCCCAGGTGGCGAGCGCCGGCAACCTCGTGGAGGCGCCGCGGGGGCGGAGGGAGGAGGGAGCGTCGAAGAGAGAGTAGACGTCCGGAATGTCGGAGGTCCGCGCGGATTTCTTGGGCCGTCACTCAGAGCCCCGAATCATCAGGGGTAACTCGGGTCAGGGATAACTCGGGTTCGTTTTTCGGGAATCCAAGCCCGAGTTACCCCGGACCCGAGTTACCCCGGATAACTCGGGCGTCCAGAGCCCCACATCATCAGGGGTAACTCGGGTCAGGGCTAACTCGGGTTCCTTTTCCGGGAATCCAAACCCGAGTTGCTCCAGACCCGAAAACCCTGATGATTCGGGCGCCCAAGAGTAGACGTCTGGAATGTCGGAGGTCCGCGCGCATTTCTTGGGCCGTCACCGGGCCCCCGTGTGGGCGCCTCTGGTGCAACCCTCGGCGCGCTGCGCGCGCGCCAGGGAGGGGTTCCAGCTCCGATGCAGGACGTCTGCGCAAACCTCCGAAAATCGCTGCTGGACTTCGGCTGCGTTATGTTTTTTCAACGTGGCAGGGAGGAAGAGGTAATTGCAGGAAAACAGGTCGAGCAAAACGGAACTCGAAGCGAAAACCAAACGATCAACAGCATTTGGGCCCAGCCCTGTTGTACGCAGCTTGTTTTGCAGGTGTTTGGCGGCGCTGCGGCTGAGCCCACCTTGTCCGTGGCCTGTCTTTACCAGCCTCGAACTTATCCCTATCCCTAAGATTGACACGCCAAAAGGCGATGACAATCTTATGTATTCGCCCTCAACAAGTAAGGGAATCTCTAAGATTGGTATCGTGATGAGGAGATGCCCAGCATAGGGATAGGGATATGTTCCAGGCTGGTAATGTCCCCAGTTCTCGGGCCAACGACTGCGTGCGGCGCCGGGTCTGCCCTCCCCCCTCGCCCCGCCCTCTCTCGGGGGCTCCCAGGCGGCACGGTGGCCACGCCGTGTGGTAGGTCAGTGGGGATCCCCTGACCTTCCAGGAGGTCCTATGAAAGACAACATGAGGGCCTCGGCATCTAAAGTCCTGTCGAGGTTTTAGGCCGTCCGTGCAGGTCTATAGGTCTGGAGTCAAGGGCAGAACAAAAACGCCCCGACCCTGGTTTACGAGGCGCTGTGCTCTGAAACTCCTGTGGGCCGACAGGGTAGACCATGCGTGATGTGCCGCGCCCTGGCGGCTCTAGGCTTTGGGGGTTCCCAGGAGGTTTTCAGACCACGCACTTGTAACCCAGGGTAGGGTCGTTTTGTTCATCCCTCCATGGAGGGCTATTTTCTAGCACACTGGAAGGTCAGGGTCCGGGGTCGACGCACGGTTTTGGGACTCTGGTCGTTCTCCGAGGACGTCTCGGGCGCTCGGGGCCTCCAGAGGGTCCCAGAGCCGTGCGGTGACGGGCCGCGCGGTGAGGTGGCTGGGGATCCCGAGGTCACCACGCGGTCCGTCACCGCACGGCTCTGGGGGCCCGAAGCCAGGGGAACAAAGAGTGGCATAAACAGAACAACTCGGAGGTCCGCGCGGATTTCTCGGATCGGCGCTGGACCCCCCCGTCCCTGGCGCGCGGAGCGCGCCAGGGGCGGCGCCGGAGGCGCAGCCGCGGGGCCCCAGCGCCGATCTGAGAAATCCGCGCGGACCTCCGATTTTTTCTGTTTATGCCACTTCTTGTTCCCCTAGTCTGGGGGCCCGAAACCTCGCCCCCCCCCCCGGCGCTCCCCTCCCCACTCGCCCCCGAGCTGCGGCAGCGCCGGCCCGGCGGCTGAACGCACAAGCCATCAGGGGCACAGACAGGGGGGGGATCGGCACAGGGCGGGACGCATCGACCCCAGTCGCCCACGGATCGCCGGCAGGGGGCTCGATGGTCCCCACCTGCCCAGGAGGGTGCGGAGGCACCGTCGAGGGCCTCTCGCCGATCTGCCGGCGGAGTGTTGCCGAGTCCAGGTCGATGTGTCCCCCCCTGTGCCCACGAGGCTCCCCCGTTGTCTTGGCATCGCTCGGACGTGTGTATTTTTCCTTCGGCGAGGACCATCGAGGAGCATCCTTGATCATTTGGCGAAAAAACCACGCACGAAACCGAACAAAAACACAGGGAATGGACGTGCGAGCGATGGCCAGTTGTCATTGCCCCTTGTGCAGTGGGAGGCGGGAGGGCGCTCTCGGAGCGCCGAGGAGCACCTCGAGAGACCTGGGCCTCTGAGTTCCAGGCTTCTGTCGGGCGTGTCCCCCTACAGGGGGGGGGTTCGACGAAACATAAAAAAGGACACCAAAAATGCACCAAAAAGATAACAAATACTCTAAAAATAGTCCCCAGACAATTTTTCTACTATTTTTTGTATTTTTGTTGTATGTTTCTTTTTCGTCGAAAATCCCTCTGTAGGGGGACAGGCCCGACTTAATTCCAGGCCTC